CCCTTTTCCTTATGAATCAAGGTGAAGTCTCTCTCAGGGAGGAGTGATAGGGAATGGCAAAGGACACACTGACAAAGGAGATTAATCAGAACTGGCTTTGACAAGCACTGCGGTAATTGGACAATTAAAACAGACTTTCAAGGGGGGAAAAAAAAGAACAACGAACTGGAGAGGAGGGAAGAGAAAATAGTGCAACAAAGAATGAATGAAAACCCAAAATCTCTGTAAATGTTCATTAAAATTAATAAAATTTAATTTAAAAAAATCATTAAAGCATTAAAAACTTACCTTAAAAAAATTTAAAAAAAGAACAAACAAATCTGTCTTAGAGGAAGTGTAACCAGGGTGCTTCTTTGAGGCAAGGTGGAATTTGATTTCACATGCACAAGGCATGCTGTCAGGAGAGGCCAGTCTTACGAAGAAGACATCATGCTGGGAAGGATATAGAGTCTGAGAAAGAGGACGATTCTAAAGATGAACTGACACAGTGACTGGCACAAATGGCATGCTGGAGATGTTGAGGATGGCACACGGTAGGATAGAACCCTACCCTGTTCACAGGGTCTTATGTTTTTCATAAGTGTCGTCGTTGCTTAAAGAGCACAAAACAATAGCAAAGGCCTTCAAATAACAACTAAAAGATTATCATTTTATTCAGAACGTGAACTCCTGAGGATTTTAAGATACTTAAAACCACAGAACCGATTTTGTTTCAAGGTAAGACTGGAAGGGTGAGGATAACGGATTACGAGAAGAAAGAACCATTACAGTATGACCCCTTCTCAATATACAGCAGTGGCTGCAGTCTGAATGGTCCACGACCCCACAGCACCCCAGCAAGCACCCTCGTACCCTCGCGGGCCACATTCCCAACAGCTTCGCCCTTCTGCCAAAACAACAACTGGAAGCAGAAACCTCCACAGCGCAGCCTCCCGAGACTGCGCTTCCGCTGAGCTGGGGCTGCAGCGCTCATCTTTGGATGGACATGCTAACACTTTTCCAGGTCGTCAATTCCTGCAGCGCGAGGCGTCCTCCCTCCCTGGAGTCCTCTGCAGCGCTCTCCACACGGTGGGAAAGCAAAATGAACACCTCTGAGCAACAAAGAACCGCAAAGTAAAACGCTCAGCCGCCTCCACGGTCTCTCCATCTCCACCCTTCTGTTCCCTTCTCTTCTCCAGCCTAGAGGTGAGACGGGGCCACCTGCAGTCTGGGGAGGAAGAAGGGCGAGAGAAGCCCTCGCCTGCCACCAGGCTTCGCACGTACCCCCTCGGTCTTCATGTCCAGGATCTTCTCCACTTCGAACACATCCTCCCCGTCTTCCTCGCTGTCCCCAACGGCCTCCGCTACTTTTGCGGGCGAGTCCTTCTCTTCTCCAGCTACTTCGACTTCGACTTCGGGAGACTCATCATTGCTGTCAGCACTTGGAACAAGAAGCGCAGACGTGGTTATTCCCTCGGCAGCAGGTGACGCCGCCATATCAAGAAGTCGGCAAACGGCTGGAGGAAAATCGGCTGCGAAGTTCCACAGCGTAAATCCAGCACCGCCCGCGGAAGTCCACCAATGACGAGGCACCGGGGCCTCAAGTGACGTGAGTCGTTAGCCAGTCACTAACCAGGACGGTGCGCCTACAGGAAATGGATGGGAGGGACTAGGGCTGCAAGCGGAAGGTATGTTTTTTGTGAGGTGTTGAACCTAGAGCAGGTTAAGGGTTCACGTCCACCAAAAGGGAAGAGGAAAGGCCTGGGGCAGTGTTTTGGTTAGGGAGGAGCCTGCAGGTAGGGATAGAGACTTTTTGGGAGTGGCCTGTCGGAGACGGCTTGTTGTTTTGTGGGGAAAGTGAGGGACTGGCCCTCGGTAGGGGCGGAGTCTCCGCCTGCTCGAGGTAGGGAGGGGCTTCCCCCGAGCCACAGTCCTGACCAGATCGCTGGAAAATTGCCAGTGGTCTTGGCTCTTGACTTTAGGAAAGAGGCCCGAACGCTAAAGGAAGGAAGGCCGCCGGCTAGGGAGGTGTTGGTGGAGAAGAAATATCTAGTAGGAAGTTAAAAGAGATTTCCTGAAGCCAGCTGTACACATTGACCAGCAAAATGGCACAATTAGAAACGTTTATAATTTTGGAGAGGACGGCTCTATTCAAAACGGTGTTGTTGTGGGGACAGATTGCTGAACGTTGCCTTGTCCAGAGCTTTAAGCTTTAAGCTGCACAAAAAGTTTGACACAGATGTACAGTCTTTTCTCAAACCACAAAAACCTAATAATAGAGTTGATTGTTAATTAATATTTGAATCTATGTAAAAGGTTAATCCTGAGCTTTTATTAATAGCAAAATAATAAAAGCTCAGACTTAAACTTTTTTACATTTTTAAGTCAGATACTGTTTTTAAAATTTCTTTATCATAGACTTCTAGCACACTGGAACCCAACTGTTGCTGTAAAGGACATGGGTAGGATCTGAAAACACTGTTTAAAAGTAATGGAAACAGGAAACATGGGGCTTATTTCATTCTGATTCTAAAAAAAAAATGGCTAGTTACAATGGAAGAGAAGAGGGGGAGAAACAAGGTGCCACTGGCTACTTAATCTTCATGTAATGGACTGAACCCTACCAAGGATGATTGATGACTCAGTAAACAAGGTAACACACAGGCTTGCCAAAGCATACCAGAGTCCTAGTTATCAGTGCTACTAGGGCATCTACAAAACAGGCACCAGTTATCCAAACCAAAAACCCACGACATCAGGAAGGATAGAAGAAAAAAGTTGTAGGGTTCATACATTAAGAACCTCCCAGGCCTTGAAGAAGATTAATGCCAGACTCTTAAAACTCATTGCCATCTAGTCATAGCTGAAAACCATAGTTGGGTTTTCAGCATCTGCCCATCTTTTTCCACAAAGTAGCTAGCTGATGGATTCAAACTGCCTGCCTTTGTGTTAGCAGTGCAACTCTTTACCTACTAGACCACCAGGGCTCTCTTACTGATGGTGAGACTGATGGAGATCCCTAAGCAATCAGGAAGCAGAAGCTGAAAAGATAAGGACTGTCCAGTAGAGTCAACAGAAAGCCATCCCCTAGAACTGTGCTCAAAATTAAGACTTGGAGCCTCTTAAACAGAAATAAGTATCTGTTTATTATAGCTGTCCACCTGTTGTATTTCTGCTAAAGAGGCACTTAGAATTTGGTAAGCACATGTTTACCTGGGTCACTGAGTAATCCTATTCCTGAACTCTTGTTAAATGCCATTGAGTGGAACTAACTCATAGATGAAAACCTTCCAGTGGGTTTTCTAAGGCTTTATATAGCATGCAGGAAATTGCCCATCTTTCTCCCATGGAACCTCTCACCTTTATATTGGCAGTGCAATGCAAAGCCTTAACCAAGGGGAAATCATTTGCATAAATCTTTAGATGTAGGCCCTAGGTTTTATATCTTTAAAAAGTGCTTCAATTATTAAAGGAATTGTAAGGATTATATCTAAGTAAACAAAGGAAATTGTCTAAAGTTAAATTCTACATTTAACTTTAACCTGAGCTAAAACCCAAGCTAGTTTATAGTTATTGACTGTCTGTCACAGAGGATTTGTAAATATTTATCGCTGTGCCTTCCTTTTTAGTGAAGGGAAGGGCAATCTCCAATAAATGGATGATCCCTTAAAAGGTGACAGAGGTGCACCCAAAATGGACTATTATGGACTCAGTCCTAAATTAGTAACCTGAATAAACAGTCTCCAAATGCAGATGCCCAAAGTGGACAGATATAAGTGATAAGAATTATACCCATTAAGTACATAGATTTGGTAGCTTACACTTAAGTATTCATATTGTTGTTGTTGTTGTTGTTGTTATGTGCCGTC